AGAGGGGGGCAGAGCTGGAGTATCGGGGTGAGGACGGAGCAGAGCCGGGGTGTGGGGGTGAGGACGGAGCAGAGCTGGAGTATCGGGGTGAGGATGGGGCAGAGCCGGGGGTGGGGGCGGGGCAGAGCTGAGGTGTGGGGGCCAGGCGGGCAGAGCTGGGACCTCTCCACAGGCTCAGCATAGTCCGCCCTGCCCTCACTGAGGACGCCCTGAGCCCCGCCCTGCTGTGCACCGGCCCAGCCGCCCGTCTGCTGCGGGGGTACTGTGGTCCGTCAGGTGCGCGTGTGCAGGGATGTGGCCCAGCAGGAGTCCGGCCGGTCAGGGGAAGCGGAGCCACGGGGGGGACAGAAGGTGTAAGGGTAACAGGAGGCTGGGGCCTATGGGAGGGTGCAGCCCAACCAGCCACAGCCAGAACAGGGCAGGAGAAGGGGTGACGGCCCAGTGGGCACAGCTGTGGTGGCCTAGGCTGACACGGCAGGGCAAGCAGAGTCTCGGGGGCACGCTGACAGCCCTGCCCTGGCACACACGGGCCCCCGGGCTCTGGCAGGCAGATGCGAAGGGTGACCAGAGTCTAAGGGACTTCACCTAGGAGAGCAGGTGGCCCTGAGCGGCCCATGCCCTGCAGGGACACACACCACGCAGACCTGGCCCACGTGGCAGGAAGGGCAGCCCACAGCAGAGAGGAGTGTGCACACAGCCAGGTACATTTGTGTGGGTACACTTGAATGTGAGTGTGTGTGCACATGTGATTGTGTGTGGGTGCACTGTGGGTGGGTGTGCACCTGTGTGTGCATATGTGACTGTACACCTGTGAGTGTGCACATGTGAGTGTGAGCGTGTGCATGCGTGAATGTGTGTGTACCTGTGAGTATGTGCACCTGTGTGGGGGTGCATGTGAGCGTGTGCACATGTGAATGTGTGTGTGCACGTGTGTGTTGGGTGCACGTGTGTGTGCGAGTGCATGTGTGCCCGCCTGCAGAACTGGTGAGGAGGAACGGGCGTGGGAGGTGGAGGGCGGGTGTGAGGATGCTGGTCTGCTGTGAGGGGAGCGCGTCCGTGTGCAGGAGGGCTGCAGTGCGCCTGCAGGTGCCGCATGCTGTGACTGAGTGCCTGCCTGGAGCCCCCAGAGGTGCCCGGTCCCCTCCCTGTCCCCAGGGGCCCTGGGAACCCTATGACCTATGGCCCATCTGTAGGCCCCGGTGGTCACGGCTCAGGCGCCCAAGGCCAGGGATGTGGGGTGTAAGAGGCCTGGGCACAGCAGTGCTCCCTGGCCACCATGTGTCACGAGGCTGAGGGGCAGGACCTGACCCAGGACTTTGCACGGGGCCCCAGGGGTCAGCCAGGGCCTAGGACACTGACCTAATGGCAGGGCCAGCGGGTAGGCGGTCTTGGTGACCGACAGACTCCCCTGCAGTGTGCTTGCCAGCTGTCCCTTAGGTCACCTGCTTGTCCTCAGCATGCACCAGCCCAGGGCCGGAGGCATCTGCGGGTCCAGCCTGGCTTGTCGGGGGCATTGGGCTGAGCTCTGGGACAGCCGTGCTTGGGCAGAAGGCACCCGTGTGGTGGGGCGGGGCCCGGGGCCTCCTGGCAGAGGTGGAGGGGCTGCCGCTCGGGATCAGTGACTTCCTGTTCCTCTTCTGCCCCTAGGAGGGGCAAGCGAGGCAGTGACCCCGACAGTGTGAGGCCCCTGCCGCTGCTGGCAGTGAAACCCCAGGGAGGGTGTGGGGCCGTTGCTGGCGCGAGGCCTGCCCTGGAGTGCGCGGCTGATTGCGGAGCCTGCCGGCCTGGGCCAGCCTTCCTCCAGCGCAGTGTCCACAACCATGAGGGGAGTCTGCAGCCCCTGGGGGCGAGGTGTGAGGACGGAGTGCCAGGTGCTGGCGCAGGGCTGCCGCGTCCACACCATCCTGGTCCACACCATCCTGGTCCCGTGCTGCCGTAGCCATCGTGCCGCCATCGATGGCTGCCGTCTCAGCCGGCGGGGCCCTCATGCCGGGTCCCCCACCCC